AAATTCCAAATATAGTATGGGTAAAATAGATTGAATTATTATTATCATTAGTTTAGAGAGAGATTTTTGCTATTGGCATGTGCACTTGGTGGAGAGAAAGAAAGAGACAAAGAGACAGAAAGTGAGAAATCACCCCCCGGAGAATGACAATGTTGCAATCCATTCTCCTCCATTCTCCTGGGATTTTGGGCATGCATGCATGTGGTAGGCAGTTAGTTAGCCATGAACGGGCAGCCCTAAGAGAAAATTGAAAGGCTCATCTAACTCCAGGTGGCAGGAGGGCGAGGCAATTTGCCATCTTCCTTCCTTGAGGCCTGAGGGAAGCACACAGGGATGATTCGTAGATTTTTTTTCTCTTATCAAAAAGACCTAAGCATGCGTTTTTGGCCAATGCCCCAATTCCTATTAGGGCAATGGACTAACTGGGCAGTCTAATTGGGGGAGCCTGGCTCGCATTGGGCACCATGTGCAATTAGGTGATTAAATTCCTTATTCTTGACCTGTGAGGAAGGTGCGCAGGTGCAGGAAAAGAATGTGTGGGTTCTAATTTAAAGGAAGAACATAGGCAGCGTAAGGGGCCTCCCACTAATGAATATTCATGACCTCTAGTAATAAAAATAATGGTTAACTAGTACCAAGCGCAGTTGCCATTTGACAATCCGCCCGCCCAACAACCTTCCTGGGTGTACTTCCTTTCTTTCCTTTCCTTTTTTTCTATTAAACCTTCTTTTCTACCTACTTCATTTGTGGTTGTAGTTTCATTTTGTGCCTAGGGACAGATCTCTAATTTTAGTGATCTGGACCCAAAGAACCAAGGACTTCACAACGCAGCTCAACACTCTCCCATCCGTTAACATGCCCATGCACCTGGTGTGAGTTTTAAACCACCTAATTCCAGCAACATAACCATTACACCATCTGCTGGTCCCAGCATTATGTGTTAAAGTAAAAAGAAACTAATCCAAATTATCCTTCCCTGTGCTAAGTACAACGTCAGTGTTCCCAAGTATTATCCCATTTAATTCTCCCAACAGGTCTAAAAGTTAAGTTTCATTATCAACAATTCTAATCATAGAAGCTAAGTAACTTGTGAAATGAAACAAAGTCAATAAGTAATTTATTAGATTAAAATTTGAATCTAGATGAATTGAGTTTTAAATCCACATATGAATTAATCTGTCAAGGGTGGGGAGAGTTGATCATAATATCTTTTTAAAAGTTGTATTATGTTGCTGGAAAAGCCATGCATATATATTTATATGTATATATTTTAATACAATAATGAGTCACGACTTTCCAGACAACCCAACACATAAGGCCATCTGTAGGGATACGTTTGGAGAGAGACCCTGAGGTGTGCGGACATATTCTGAGCAAACACCACCTGTCCCTTTGGGCTTTGGTCAAACCTTGTAACTTGTCCTTTCCTTGACCCTTGCTGCAGGCAGAGCAAAGGGTGGAAATTGCTAAGGGCATTCCAACAGACACATCTGCTGGAATTCAGGAAACATTTTGACCCCAATTAGCAAAGTCTAATCCCTGCTCTGCATCTGTAAGATTCTTTAGCCTTCTCTGGGTGGGGTGGTGCCTGCCTCATAGAGAGATTTTTAGCCTTTTGTTTCTTCCCCACACCTGTTGCTAGGCTTTTCCATTAGGAAATAAGATAATGGGATTTTTCTCTTGATGACATTATCACTAAAGGGTACACCTGGCCCAGGATGTCTAAGCCCTTATAGATTTGTCTGTAACACATCAACATATCTATGGAATGGCATATAATATACATATGTAGTGTTCCCTTGTACTATAAATAAAGTTGCCCAGTTTGTCTGGGTGACACAGATTGTGGCACAAGTTGCTTGGGCTAACTAGGTTCAGGCTGCCTGTGTCCACTGCTACTCTGTCTCATTCCTTCCGATTCCCCAGTCCTCTCCAGAGGATCCTCTTTCTCTTCCTCACCATCAGCCTCCTGATCATTATTCAGCTGGAGCCAAGTCCCAGGGTAGATGCTGACAGCCATCTGGTGGTGTGGTGATTAAGATGACTGGAGACCACATGACTAACTGCAATTGGAGTCCCGGACCCAGTGGTTTGAGAAACACACCAGGTTGGGATTAGCAGTTAGCGTAATGGCTATGTCGCTGACCTCCCATGTAGTCAACCTTGGTTCAAGTCCAGACCTGGTGGCTTAAACTCATGCCGGGCATGTGTGCGTGCATGCCCAAGATCCCAAGAGGAGAATAGAGGAGAAGGGATTGTGGCATGGCCAACCCCCCTGGGGGGTGATTTCTTGCTTTCTGTCTCTCTGTCTCTCTCTGTCTGTCTGGCAAATGCACAAGCCCTATAGCAAAAACCTCTCCAAAAAATAAATAAATAAATAAAAAACAGGTTGTGTGTGTGCATGCTCAAAATCCTAAAAGAAGAAATAGAGAATGGATTGTGGTAATCATCCCCCATGTGGGGTACTTTCTCCCTTCCCCTTTCTCTCTGTCTGCCTCTGGTGAGTGCATGCATCCTCTAGCCATTTTTTTAAAATGTAGATATTGTAGTCTTGCTCATTTGAGGCTTTCTGCGGATTTAAACTTTACTTTTATATTTTGAGTATTCTGTTTCCTACAGGGATGTTGTGAAGGCTCCATTCGGGTCACTTGCCCCATCTTCACAGGAAGACATGCCAAAATTGGCATTAATTGAATATTCATGGATTTCCATCCTCTGGATACCTTGCTCAGCTCCTATTACAGAGCCACCTTATTCTCTAGATTAGAAAGATGTTAGTTTTCTTACATTAATTGGTTGGTATTCCTCACCTTCTTAATTTTAGTTAACAATTTTTGTTTGTGTTTGTTCTCAAGTATGCAGGCTATATAATATTTGTTAACAAACACCTTTACTCCAATAATACAAGCAGATAAACAGCAGGTGTCTTTAGTTCTGTATCCTAAAACTTACATGGTGCATTAACTTTGACTTCATTAACTACTAACACAAGACCCCCAAAACCTCTACATCTGTAAAACAAATAAATATATACACACAATAAAGCCCTTTCTATTTCTACAGAAAATTCTCTACATTATAAGGTTTATATTTCTCCTTTATTGATGATTTTCTATACTATATATTTAGTTCCTATATGTTCTTTTAGGTATCCCATTTCAGAATTTTAAGGTTGACACATTAGCCTAAGGTCTCTAGGGCATGAAAGTCAATTTCTGTACAGCACATCACAATCCATTTACTTTAAAAACCAAGTGCAGTCAGACCAAACCTTGAAAAATAATTATCAGGTAGAAATTAGTTTTTTTCTTCTTCATCATATAGATAAAGCCTCACTCTGGCCAAAGACCTTGATTGCTACAGTAATGATTGAATAATCTGGACTTAAGGTACAAAGGCATTTCAGTAATGAACTCTCCACATTTCATCCCACACACATCAAAATGTACACTCAAACTTGAGTCGTGTATTGCCTGTAAACACTAAAAAAGGTGGGTGGGAGGGGGTCTTGACGATGTCCATGTGACCTGACTGTTGGATCATTTTGATCCTTCGCCTCTCTAAAGCATCCAATCCTTAGTTGTAGATTTAACTTCTCGCCACTCACGCCATCTAGTGGTTATAAGTGTTACATGTTTGGTTTTAAGGAACATGCCTAATGACCGGGGGGCGGGGTACATGAAAAACAAAATCGCTGGCCACGACAATTTTCCTGTCTCTCTCCTCATCACCTAACCCTCACACGGGCACCTTTAACTACTTTAACCATCTCAGAAAAGCGCAGCGACGCGCAGAGGATGAAGGAGGCGCACACTCTGAGAGACGCACGCCCCTTGACGCTGACATTTAGAAACCGGTTCTAAATTCTCCTGTCATTCGCAAAGGACAGGGAAAGGAGTTGTGGCGAGACCCAGACCAAGGAGACTGCCTGACTTTTCGCCAAGTTGGACAGATGACATGTTAACCCCCGCAACGTTAACATCTGGTTTGAAAATAATAATAATACAAAGAACGAGAAAGAGGGGAAAGCACTTAAAAATTCTGCCGTGGGGCTTTGCAGGTCTTGCCACCCAGTCGCCCCCAGAAGACAACCAATTCCTGCGCGTTCCGCTCCGCTCACCCTCCTTCCCAGCTTCTCTCGCTCTCTTTTCCCCCCTTTCCCACGCTCGCCTTGAACCAGGACTCGGGAGGCAGAAGCAAGACACCGGTCCCCTTCCTCCTCTCCTCCTCCAAACCACCGCAGCCGAGCGCGTGAAGCTTCCCTTTGTTCATCCGAGGCTCGCTTTCCTCCCCAGGCAGATCCACCTGGATGATCTCCCTCGGTGACATTTTGCGCCGGGACTGGTGGGTGGCTGGGGTGGAGCGAGGAGCCCGAGGGGGCGGGGGCGGAGAAAGGTCAAGCCGAGGGAAAGGCAGGAGACGCCTTTCCTAACCTGCGTGGCGGGGCGTGCGCACGTTATTTATTTATTTTCTCCTTATTTATTGATCGCACGAGCTGAGCTGCACGGGGAGCCCGGGGAGATGCAGGACCACCCACTGGCGGGGAAGCAACCAGCAGCCCTCCCGCGCCCCCG